GTTTCCATGATCGCTGCTTGCAGTAATCTCGGTTAGTCTACAATTATTCACGGAGCGTATCTATGAACTTTGAGTCCGGTTTAGCTCTTGAAGGCCTGGGCTCATAATGAGGAGCTTCGATTGAAAAACAGATGCTTTTCAAGCCGGGCGCAGGTCGCTATTTTGTAGTCAATTAGGAGTGGGTCAAATACGAATCTCAGGGCAGTTTGGCATATGATTGGCTCGCAGTAGCTCGCACTTCGGAGTCCGAGGATCATTATCGTCGTATTCGGCATAGCCTGCGGCACAGAATGAGCTGTGACGAAACATTCTGCGAGGACTAGGAGAAAAAACCAGTTGTCTAACAGACCAAATAGAGCATGCAATGTTAAGAGTTTCGAGATAGAACCTAGGTATGCTTTGAACATAGGATTCAAGACTTCTCCGAAAATCATATTGAATGGCTTTCTTGGTGCTGGTTCTGTAGGTGCCCTTCCCATGCGCCCGAATTAAGTGTCACGGCATGAACGAGTAAGTGAAAGCCCAATCCTGAGCAACTTTTGGTTTCGTCAGATAAATCTGGCTTTCTGGGAATCCTTGACAAGATATCGGGTCAGAGTTCAATTGCTTGCATCTTATCTTACCAGCCAATATCAATACAAAATTCGGTCTTAATAACTCTACCATCACAAGCTGAAACTGCCTATCGACAATCCTAGGCGAAGTCCTGAGGTCGTTTCTATGCTTCTTCATCCGTTGGGTTGAGACTACGACTAAGTTTCACGTGCTTCAATAACGGAAAGAGAAGCCGTGAGCTATGCTCTTATAATATAATAGGCGATGTGCCTTGTTATATCGAAATAGTGATATCCCTCAAAGTGTGTCACGGATCGAACGTTAACATTCCGAGTCTTGGTGTAGTTAAACAGCGCACACTACGTAGCTGGTAAACACATCTTACCCCCACATTAGTCTAAGCTAGGTCTATTTGATCGGCGCATCACCCTAAATGACCAGACGCTATAGACGAAGGGCCGCTGTAAAAAGATCGCACACGAATGACAGCCAATGAGATTGAATTAGAGAGCCTCATGGTCGATCTTCTTCATGATACGCTACTTGGACACAATAGAAAGCGCAATTAGATATCGAAGCTCAGCACCGTGACTAGAGTCTTCAGGTTGCGTGCGAGCATTTAAAAGTCGTTAAGAATTCAATCCTTACCACGAACGGTGGCGTTTTGGCTTGCAAGCCACAATACAGGACACACGAGGCATGTGGCAACGGATTGAGGAAAATAATTCTCCTGTGGCGTAAGTCTTGTGGCTCAATAGCAAATTGATGACTTTTTCGGCAGTTGGGTTCAGGGCACTTGTCGTAGCAGTTCTAGGCATAGGGTAGAAATGCAAACCTTGTCTTCGTTATACGTTGCGGTGGCGGTTTGTTCTAGCCCGCCAGGCGAGTCGACTACTACAGGCTTATCTTGCTGTCTTCCAACGAGGCTTTGAATTAAGTTATATGATTAGTAGGTCGCCTCGGTAGCTTGCCGACTTCATGGCCAATCAACTCTCAGTTTGAATGGAGTCTTGGTTATTTCAATGAAAGCTTTGAATTGAGACATATGATTGGCAGGTCACCTCGGTAGCTTCGCCGACATCACCACCAATCAACTCTCAATCAACTTGGAGCTACAGCCCTTATCCTGACCAAGCCGAGGAGGCTTACCTAGTGAGTTGCGCGTAGTGGTCAAGAACACCAATCGTTTTGTAAGAACATGTTTCGCCTTCCGCCTGCTTCAGGCGGCTTGTACACGCAAGGTGTGTTAGAGAATCTCGATGCTCTGTCACAGTTTGCCGTCTTTGCCCCTGTGCAACTTCACGTCAGTTCTTCGAATACAAACACGCCTTCTTCACAAATATGTCGATATAGCATGTGGCTACATGTCTCATCCCATAGATCTGAGGATGGCGTTGTTGAGCAACCTTGTCTTGACCTCGCTCAAAGGGGCTTAATGCAGGACACGACTTAACCACCTCAGATGGTGTTTATTACAAACATCACCTGCGGTCCGCCAGGTTGAAACTCGCCTTCAGTGACCCAGTTATAGGTCAGGTGCCGTGGGATGGCAAAGCGGGGAACCCAATAACACTCGATCAGGATTATCCCCCGATGGCCAATGTAGAGGTGGTCCTACGACGATGACATTCCAGCCATCGGCGTTTCCATCTGTACTTTTCAAATCGCGACGACAGTCTGAGAATCATTCAGTCATACGTCAGCCCAACTACACAGGATTGGCGGTACTAGCCCCGACGTCCCAACTTGTTTTTTAAAGGAGCCATCAGATTCCACATTCTTCGTGCCTGATTTCTAGAGATATCGAGTTCCCATGTTTTACTTGAAGAAGGATCACCAGCCTGTCAAAGAATTGCATCGAGTTCATCAGTCGGTATCTGCAGATACAAAAATTTTGAGACTCAGTCGAAGCATCAAAGGCGTCAACATGACCTCGTCAGCTGACTCGAGGAGGTTGAGTGCTGAAGCGAGCTTCAGCCCATCAGATTCGTATTGTGATCCCGCCACGTCGGATGCCGGGGAACAACAGCAGATGGTTCGATATCTCCACGATGCACCTCATGGTAGTTGGGATAGTAGTGCCTATCTGTCCCCTATGTTGACAGATGATTCACTGATTTCTCCCTTCGCGACGGCTTTTGAACAGGCCGCCTCGATGGGACAATCCTTTCCATCTGCTAATATGCAAGATGGTGAATTCCAACAGAATTTTCAAGGAAACCAAGCCCAGCACCAAATACCACAGTGGTATGGACTTTATGAAGACCATCGTCCGCGACAGACCCTTTTATCACTCGATAATATGTCCTGGAACCCACCGAGTCCTCCTTTCCAAGATGGTGCCACATCTCCGTCTTCACCAAACAGCAACATGCTAGGCTACCGATCCACTGGCAACATACAATCTGGAGACACACGAACGCTTCAACAGTCGCAAGGAAATCCGCCATATAAGGAAAGCCGAAGTGGTACAATGGATAAGGGTAGAAAGAAGCGCGGAAGAACTGGGACGGATAGGAGAGACAGTGCTGGAAAGGCTAGTAGCAATGCTGTCGCGGCGAAGTCGAGGGGTCGACGCGTATCTGTCGCAACTCCAATAAAGGACGAGCCACCATTGACACCTCTATCCAGCACACCGACTCGGCTCAATGACTCTTCCAGCGCGGTGCCACGCCAGGCAACACAGCTTTCCGATGAATCGAGCCATCCGTCGCATGTCGCGCCGTCATCCCCGGTGGCCTCTTCCTCATCAACAAGGCAAGACAATGATTTCCCAGACGCGGACAATGATCACGATATCAAACGCGCGCGAAACCGCGCGGCGGCGACGAAGTGCCGAGCCAAGAACAAGCGAGCCATGAATGCCTTGGAAGAATCGAGCCGAATTATCACTGAACAGCGCGAGCTTCTCTCTATTACAGCAGCATCACTCAAGAACGAGGTGCTCGCCCTCAAGACCGAGCTACTGCGCCACGGGGATTGCGACTGTGTTCTCATCCAAACATACATAAACAAGATGGCGCGGAACGTTGGCGAAGGACGAACCTGACTTACGGCCGATATGAGGCCATTAGAATCAGGTTTTCTTTTGCGTTACTCGTGATGTGTACCCAGGTTACATCTGTTCGTCCTTCTTGGATAATGACAAATAACGCATTTCATGATGATGAGGTTGAGCACGTCTTTGGTTGATTCCTGTTGCTGTAAAGGTTCTCTAGAGGCGTGTAACATGGCAAGGTTGGTATTGACCATTACACATTTATTGATGGGCTTCTTTTTGTTTCTTCTTCTGTTAGTTTTGGTGTTTACTGGCTTAGCAAGGTTATATCGACGGTTTTCCTTGGTAAAGTAGCGGTAGAATCGTGATATTAGTGTTTTGAGTTAGCTATAATATAACGATGGCTGAGTGGTGGATGAAATGGCGGAGTGTTTTGTCTTGTTGGCCTTTGGTGACAACGTTCGACTATGTGATGAAGCTGTCATCATCAGAAGACTATGGAAGGTGCCCGGACTCACGATTTGATTTGATGTCGAAGGCTTGAATAAGCCACCCTTTCAAAGCGAATAAACAGAGCCATTGATCCTCATTCACATCAGGACATAGGAAATGCGTCTTCACTGAAGACATGTATTTGATCTTCGTTCATAGTTCTGCACATCTTGTCTCAGATACGACGGAATTTCCCCGATATCCTAGGTCGACGCAAGGCTGGTTTGAAATCCATCTCTTTATGCAAAATACCTTTTGGCTCATGTAGCAAATTCAAAATGTGAATGAAAGTTCATAGAATACTTGGATGTCCTTTTGTAAAACATATGATGCTACCTTGAGCATCAGGGGACGACCATCTGTTAGGTAGGGGAAGTGGGAGCAGATAACGAATCAGAAAAACAGCGAGGAGGGGGAGTAAAGGGAATATCAACTAAGTTATCGACCCAAAAATGTGGATATACCAACACTTATGTGCCTTGGTTGATCTCTCCGTTCGGAAACGTTATGCTAACAACTTTCGTGACACAACTGTTACGATCATCTGACGTAATCTCTTCGAAACTGATTGTCACGTCTTGAATTTTCTAGGATTCTATATTTTTTTACGAGGATGTCGTTTGTACGTCATTGGCCATCATTGTTCGGAGGTTGGGGCCGGGGTAATCATCCAACGCTGATGCCTCTGCAAAAGGCTGTCAAAGTCCCCACCACATCGAACATCAAAACTCGAAGCGATATAGTTCGATGAAATGAAGACAGCCTCGTATCGAATCTGCTCATAATCTTTGCAAGTCATTGGGGGTCCACACAAGATACAGGAATATCACACATTGGTATTTGCGGAGACAGCTGTAACCTGATCAGCAATATGCCCGATACTCTCGGGATTCAATACGACCACGTTTCAAGTACAAATATATAGTGTAGTTATCGAGGAGACAATCATGGCTTCCTAGTGGGCCTTCACCTTTTCTTCAATCAAATGCTTCATCACTCGCTCGGCCGACTTTGGATCGATCCTCTCTTCAGCACCAAGCTTCATCATCCTCCCAACAAGGAACATAAGCTTTCCTTGAGGGTATCGTTGGTATCCAACAAAATCCTTCAACACTCTCTCCTCTCCGGACAATGCCTCCTCAGCCAAGTCGTGATACTCTGCTTCGGATAGCTCGTCAAACCACAGATTACCTTGTTCGATGGCAAAGCCTATGTCCATAGGCCCGGTCTCGACGGTATTTACAAGATCCCCACGGAAGACAGCGAAAAGCAGCTCCTTGGCAACCCGCGAGGTGATTGACATATTGTGGAGATACCAGAGTATATCAGCCAGGTCATGAGCAGGTACGCGTTCGCACTCGCCAGTAGCTGTCATGCCGAGCTCGTTTGTAGTTTCAGCCAAGGAGGTGTTCCGATCCGAAGTCAGACGGCCGAGCTCATGTAGAACCCAGTTGCTAGCCAGAATAGAGCGTTGCTTTGTTGATTCTCTCGTCTCCTCAGGCTGAGGCTCCTGATCACGCGTGGCAAGCACACGAGCGGTCAAATGGTCAAGGACGTCGTAGAAATATTCAAGCCTGCCGCCGTTGTCGAGGAGCATCAATGCCAGAGCGTCTTTAGATGACAGCCCGTGCTCCTCAATCAGTTTGTCCAACTCCGCATCGGGTAGTACGCCCATAGTACTTCTCAAGCGCTCGACCAAGTCCTCTCCAATGATGATGGGGCCGAGATCAGGGTCTGGCATGTAGCGGTAGTCAACCTCCCCTTCCTTCCCACGTAGTCGCCGCGTCTCAGTACTGCCCAGCGACCAGCCTCTGGTCTCGCCCTCAATGACACCGCCAGCCTCCAAAACAGCAATCTGCCGGTCTCGCTCTGCAATGATAGCATCCTCGACAGCTTTGAAGCTGCTCAGATTCTTGATTTCGGTTCTCTGTCCCAGTATACCCGACGGATCGTCCGTCCGTCGCACGCTAACATTCACATCGGCTCTCAACCCGCCCGTTTCCATCCCGCTCACGCACGCATCCACTGAGTTGAGCAACATCTGCACCTTGCGCACCAGAGCCGCCCCCGTAGCAGGGTGATGAATATCCGGCTGCGTGATGATTTCAATCAGTGGAACGCCGACGCGATTGAAGTTCAGCCAGTGAATCTCGCCCGGCTGCGCTAGCGTCTTCGCTGTGTCTTGCTCCATTTGGACCTGTCTGATGCCGATGCGCACCGCTTCGCCGTCCTCAGCCGCGATTCCGTCCCTCGCAAGCAGTTCGATGTGCCCTTCACGCGCAAACGGCTCGTAGTACTGCGTCAGCTGGTACCCGCTCGGCTGGTCCCAGTGGAAGTAGTGTTTGCGGTCCCACCTGCTGATCTTTTGGACGTCGCAGTTGAGCGCGAGCGCGGCGCGGACGGCCGGGATGAGCGTGGATTGCTGGAAGATGGGCTGCGAGCCTGGCATGGCCAGATCGAAGAGCTCGACGCGCGTGTTCGGGTCGTCTGTCGCGGCGGGAAGTGTCGCGGAGGAGAAGAGCTTGCGGGGGGTGTTGAGCTGGGCGTGGATCTCGATGCCGACGGTCAGCTCCCAGCCGGGGACGGTCTGGTTCTGCGCATTGGGCTTCTTCTTTTTGCCGGAGGCCTTGAGAGCCTTGGCCTGGTCTTTGAGCTGTTTCCGGAGAGGAACATGATGGGAGGATGTCGGAGGTGAAGTTGCAGTATTTGCCGATGCATCTGCTGGAGACGGGCTGGCGACGGAGCGAATAGATCGAATCGAGGGCTGCTGTATCCTTATACTTGTGTTCAATTGACTTCCGAAGCAGCGAATACTTGATCGGAGGAGCGGTCGTGATGAGCTTCGAAGACAGCCCTGTTTCGAGAGTTGTCCGGAGAGCAGATACTTGCCGAGCTCCTGTACTGGGATGCGCGCCATCGTTGTGAGTTTGGAAGCTGCCACTCTCGATGATCGAAATCAGAGGCTAGCTAGATAAATTTAGGCGCAACACGCCTCGAAATAGCGACGATGTGTTGATACATCATCCATTTTTAGTGTTTCAGTTGGTTGATGCGAATAGCTCTCCAAATTCATAAAGAGCAAACGAATGGTTGGTTTCTAGGAGCATTGGGCACGAAGTGGTCCGTGCTCCAAGACAACATAGTGTTGGTGCTGCTTTCCTCGGCTTGAAGAAGTGAAGAGCACTCTCACGAGATAAATATCAGTCGTTAGCCACATACATTTTCATACGAAGCTCATGTATCCCAAGTGGTCGTCTCAAACAGTTTCCGCTTGGATTTTCCGAGGCTAAGGCATTCCTTTTCCACACAAGGACGTGGCCGCCGCGTGTCATCAACATCGCGACCTTAATCAGTGAGTGATGAAATGCGAAAAGAAGTCTTGATTTAATTACTAGGGTCAAGGGCCTCAGCGAATCGAGAAAGACATCATCGACATAATCTCTGCTAGTATGGAGATTCTCGCCTCTGTAAGGCCATACAGCAAGCTTCCATCGAGAGCTACGAAAGACTCGAGCTTTGCCCTGCATACCTTTCTGCCTTCCCGCTCCTCCCACCAGACAATCTCAACCCGCGGCGTCCGGTATTGAGACGAACATGATGACGGCATTCATCTTGCTGGGAGAGCAACACCGACATGAGTGAATGATTGCTGTGGCCCGTCCACCAAAGGCCAAAGACAGCAATCGCCAGGAAGACACTCCGAGAGGCCATCTCAGCCAATTGCCTGGAGAGGGTAAACGACCGGCTAAATCAGACAGTCAGTCAATCAACAGCCACACTGATCGTCAACAATCATCACCGCTTTCGGGACAGTCCCAGCGCATCTGCATCTCTGTCATGGAAGAGTCGCTGGCGGGGAACCTGGCAGGCCAAGCAGCTCTAGCCAAGCCCTGGTCAGTGCGCAATGAACTCCTTCGTGCTGGAGGGTTTCTCTTTTTCCTCCTTGTTCAAGGCGCTTCAGTTGTTCGAGACCCACAAGCAGCATCTTCTAGGTGCATTGTGCCCTGCTGATGTGTGTGGCAGCCACCGCCGTCCGCTGGCTTGACCTTTTTAGTCAATGGTTAGAGTCAGAGCGTGCGCCGGACTGTCAGTGCGTGCAGGACGGGACATGCGGGCGATGTCATAGTCAATCGACAGCAGCTCGCCAGATCTTGGCTCCTGCAAGATGGCTGTCCCGCCACTGGCCAGTTCGCTGGACGGCAGAGGGAATTGATCGTCCCGCTGCGGAAAATGTCCCGTTGTCAGCTTCTTTTGGCTTTGTTGATCGTGCTGTCTTATTCCCTTGCGCCGATCGCGTCGAGTCGTTACGAGCAGTCCATTCCCCAAAGACTCAGGCAACTTGGACAAAGCTGTCCAAGCTCAAGAAGCTCTCTTGGAATAAACCCGCCCGTGCGCCCGCCACCAGTCCGCCCCAGTGAGCAAACCTGGTCCTGGTCTCGAGGAATCCTTTTCATTATGGTTGTGTCCGAGCCCACGGCACGCCCACTGACGATGAGGGGCGCGGGAGAACCACTTGGGTGAGTGCCGTTCTTGACGGTCAAGCATGATCTGCCATCATCTGGGGAACGGTCAAGTGATCTAATGCTACCTTAAATCTGGCCCATGATCCCCTCCCCGGTGCACATCATGCTTGCTTTTCTCTTGTCTCTTATGGCTTGACAGCCATACTCAATTTACACGCTGCCATTGAGTTGTCAGGACCACAGCAATGGACACAGACTGGCATGACCAGCACAGGCGAAATGGCCTCATCGCCACGGCGACGGTGATGACCGTCTTGGCTGGTGAGCATCTTGTTGTATATTTGGCTGCGCTACCAAAGCATGTGAATTCGCGGCTAACTCAGTGATCCCTATCGAAGGTTGCTTTGTACTTCTACGACTGACTAGCCGTTTTGTACTCATCCGCAACCCCGGCGTGGATGACTATCTGATAATAGGAGCCATGGTATGGTGCATTTCCGTTTTCGTGCCCTTCAATTGATTGTACTGATATGGCGGCAGTCCTTGACCATTGGCTACCTCATAAATCTCTTCGTAGGCCGAGCGGCGAACATGGGATATCCCGTGACATTGATCACCCCAGACAATATGATTAGCATATTAAAGGTGTGTTTGATACAACCCATAACCAAAGCATGTTCCGGGAAGGCCGTTTTGAAGCTTACATCTCAACTCTAGGTCACATTGGCCATCGAAGTGATGTACTATGGGATCTTGTTTTTCATTAAAACGTCAATTCTGTTCACATATCTCCGATTTGGTAGGCTTCAGAGTGGATGATACAAAGAGCTCAAACTAACAGATCGATGCAGCCGTCACAAACACGTTCCGAAATCTGTGTATCGGAACTGTCATCCTCCATTCCGTCTTCTTCTTCATTTGCTTCGTTGTCACCTTAGCGCAGTGTCGGCCTTTATACAAGATGTGGGATCTAACAAAGTCTGTGGATGGAGCCTGCATCAACACGACAGCATTCTTCTACTGTATGCGCCCTCAGCGGTCTGTTTGATGTTGTCCCACTAACTGACTGACTCCAGCCACTTCCGCATTCAACATAATTACAGATATCTGGATCCTCGGTTTGCCTATTAAAACACTTGCAAGTGTGCATCGGCCGCGCCGCGAGAAGATCGGTCTGTTTCTTGTCTTCGGCGCCGGAACCTTCGCTGCCGTAGCATCAGTTGTGCGCCTGCACACAATATACAAGTACACACTTGCAGAAGATCCCTTCCGAAACAGCCTGCTCGTTAATCTGTGGTCGATGATCGAAGTCACCATCGCCATCTGCTGCGCGAGCGTCCCCGCCCTCAAGCCCGTCTTCAGCCGTTCGCAGCGACAGCGCACGCGGGCTATGTCCTCGTCTCACTCCGCGCGAACACAGTCCCATCATTGGCATTTCCGCCTGGGAAGCAAGGACATGTCGGCGGAGAAAGGCGGCAGCTCGAACGATAACTCACAGGCGAACGAACACTCGGGCATTCGACGGTCGATGGAGAGACAGGAGACTGCGGAGGCGTCGCAGCCGCCAGTTGTGCGTCCACCGCTAGCGACTCTAACTCGGCCGGGGGGAGCGACGCAGATGCTCTCGATGGATCGCATGGCTGAGATGGACAGTTTGGAGAACAGCGTGGACAGCGGCAGCATGCTGGCTTTCACGCCCCTGAGCCCGCCTGTCAGTACGAGGGGGAAGGCGCTTCTTAGAGACGGGGAGAATGCTGGCGGTGAGACGAAGTGGCTCAGCAGCTCGGGGAGCATGATTGTGCTGCAGAAGTAGAGCAGAAGCCCATTGTTGGAGTTTGTGGAAGTTCAGACTTCAAAAAGGGGTGAGATGATAACTGTAGACCCAGACCCCAGCAGATTCATTACGTGGAAGAGCCCATCGCTATCACTATTATTATTTATATAGTAGGAATTTAATGCTGTAGTAATTCTTATCATTCTCGGACCATAGAACAGTCCTAAAGACTGCACATAGAACTTTTCAACAGGGTTTGATCGAGTTGGCGATTTTTGGTCTGGTCATCTTTTCATTTTTACCTGTCTTTCAACAATGCAACAAACACCAAGTCACCATTCACTGGGCAGAAGGCGTCAATGAAGCCCCGCCGGCTGCAATCAGGGCGTGGAGCTGGTACCTCCTGAACAGCCGGGTCACTGGTATCTTCCCAAATTACTCACCGAGAGCTCTAGATCATTCAACTTTTCTCCCCTGAATGCGAATTGGTTATAACCAGGCTTCTTCATTAAGAAGTCTTGGAAACATGATGTGCATGTCTAAATATCTCAGGCTACCACGCATTTCATGCGAATAAAAGAGTTGCGGGCCTGGAATTAATATATAGCCAGTCGAGAAAATGCTCCGATTACCCCGTCAAGTCTAGCGTGTCTGTTTCGATATGAAGAGGCAAAATAGAAATTAATTGCAAAGAGCCGTCCATCTCACGACAGGCACACCTATGACTTGATAGCAATGGCTTTAGACGTTAAAAGAGATGCGCGTCCCGCAACAGCAAAAAGTACTACCTACAGCTTTCACCTGGGATCATGAAGTTAATCAACATGCATTGCTGCATTGCACTTGCCATTGGCTGGCTGGCTGCATTTGTCAACGGTGATAGTCCTCCTACGCTACCAACGTTATCAAGCCTCTCCTTTTCTGGAAACGGCTGCCCGCAAAATGGCACAGGCGACAAAGTTGTAACCGCTACTGGTGATTTCAACGAGCTCGATTTCGTATTTCACCACTTCACTGCCGCGATTCCCGGGGATGGCCCTGCTTCAAGAACAACGAATTGTCAAGCGCATCTGACCGCAAGTGGAACAACTCCAGGATGGCAAGTCAGTCCTAGCAATATAACATTCAAAGGTTTCACGGTTCTACAGCCCGGAGCCACCTTGACGATCTACATAACGGCGTATTGGTCTCAGAGCGCGTCCCAAACGGTGCGCACAATTATCAAGCATGCCTTGAGATTTCAAGCTAACTCAATGACAGATTACGATTACAAGATCATATAAAAACACAGGCAGCGGGCCAATCACTGAAATCATAGCCGATGTGGCGGAACTTTCGTTGTGGTCTCCTTGTTCTGATAATGCTGGCCGGCAAGGAATACTGAACATCAACTTCAGGGCAGCGTTGACGACTACGCAAACTAATAATGGAACCATCCCGACTGGTTATTTTGGTCCGCTTGAAATCAGTGGTGCGGAAGTATATCCTGTTGCGGAAACGGTGGAGTTTAAATGGAGGACTTGTTGATTGATAATAGTCTTACTCGAATGTCAAACACTCCAAATTGATTACGTCTTCAATTGACTGTTCCCAAAGCGCTCAGAGAGACTGGAATTCAAGTAACTGTCTATTTCAAGGCATTTGATGATGTGCTGCTGTTTTTGGACGAAATTATGACAGTGATCGCCTATATTTTGGACACTATAAGCTGTCAATTAAAGCAACCTTTGTAGCAAATAAATGCCGCCATTTAAAATTCCCTAGAGCTATGGAAATAGAATGCACTTTAGATCAAATACCAAAGGTGAACATGAAATCCTAGAATGCAACACTGTATAATATGCATCTTATTACGCTACGTAGAAAGTGTTTTCCAAACTCTTGCTCCTGGTTGAATACTGTTAAACGACTTGTCATAAGTTGTGTCTATTGTGCCTAAGCTACTACTAAGTGATTGTCACTAGCATTTTATAGATTTGGCATAATCACTCATGACTACTATGCCCGAAGTTAGTCAAGAATGGAAGATTTACATCAAAGTTAGCCCGTTTAATATTCATCTCTCATGATTGTGAAATCTATGACTGCAGCTGGGGGGTTTGAAATAACATGCCTTGATTAGCTTCTTCCTTGAAGTTGTATCAGTCTTTAGACAGCGATGGCTCGCTTAATGACGACTGAGGGCCGCAGCAGTGAAAGCAATGGAAACTCATCGAGCATCAAGAACGATATAAAGCCGGAGGTAATAATTATATTTGTTGATCGATGTGATGAAGCATCTCTGCGTTCTAGGAAATTAGTTTTGCTATCATCAAGTGGGGGGTAATCGAATCGTCTCATGTTCAAAGCCATTCACTAAAATCACGAAAAGCACCTACGGTGTAGTCAGTCTTAGAAATATCATGTTGTTGTCGAACCTCCGTACAAGCTTAGTTCATCCGACCTTACCAGTATTCATGCTGGAATCTCGCAACGAATTTTCAATAATGAAAGGGCGGATCATCCCAAGTTTACTGAGACTTTTTGAAGCATCCAAAACACTCTTTCTCTTTGTTTGATCATCTGGAAACCGAAATGTAGTGAATTGTAAATCAATATCATGACTCTGTCAACCGCAGGGTTGTGTATCTCCTAAGCCCTTGCTTCTATGGTAGCAGACTTGCGATGGACATTGACTACAGCTGAATGAATCGCAACGACAGTGAATTCCCAAATCACAACTCGAAAGAGTGTTGTAGTCCCTTAGCTCATACTTATATAAAGTGTACCACTTTAAAGTTATAGTAGATGATACTGTTACATCCGCTTAAGCATTTAAGACATCAGTATTAAGACCAACCTGGCTTTTGGTACGAACCTGGACTTCGCTTAACTAGCTTTGCTGTTCCTTCCTACTTGTTGTTTGCTTTCTTGACTACATAACTCTAGCTGTGTAGCAGTTTTCATACTTTACTATCTATCTTACAAATCTTTCACTACCTTCATGAACATGGATCCCCATCGCTTCCCTCTGAGATCAGACATCAACTGGTCTGATATTGGACAACTGTCCCCTGGATCCCCGAGAGTTCAAGAAGCCTTTTTGAATGAACTAGATATCAACGACCAGCTGAAACCTTGTACCGTTGCGCCAGAGAAACGCGAAGATACAAGCACGAGAAAAGGCATCAGATATCTCGTCGAAATGGAGGAGGTTCGGACAGATTTGGTCACAACACAGGGACGTCATCGCCCATGCCTGGCAAAAGTCAACCCAACGTGAGCGGAGAATGCTGCTAAAGATTGCCTGGGGACAAGAATTACCGGATATGCATCGCCCGGATTTAGAGCTCTTTCTACGGCAAGTCAAAATAATTGAACGTGGGAAGGTTACAATCCAATTAGGGAATGCGTCTGAGCTGCTGGGTCGAACATCAGTCGGGGCAAATCTACAACGGCAGCAGTTACAGGAACCGAGATCAGACCCCAGTCCCAGCGAATACAAGCCTCTTGACACTTTCGCGAAATTAAATATAAAAGAAAAATACAGCCGTCACATAACCCTCCTCCTAGCCCAAGAACAGCACGGCTAAAAGTCAAAACGCAAGGGCATTTAGGTTCCCAGCCAATCCAACAAGAACCGGACATCAATATTCTAGATCATCTCCCAACGGTTATAGATATACTAGTGGGGCATTATATGTTTAGTTTGAAAACAAGACTTGAACAATGTTCTCTTTAATTTAGTGTGTAGACTTTGTAATGAGCAGGCAAAGCACAGTATTTGGTGTATCATGTACAGGTAACTTGAATGGAGATTCATGGCTTGAGGTAGTCATGCCCTTGTATGTCTATACATGAGTTCATTCAGGAATGTTGTGATCATATTCAAAACGTGCATGCGCGTGAAGATTGACATCTTCTCTTTCAATCATTGAAATAGCCGTCTCTCTCCAGCGAGCTCCCTGCTCTCCTTCATTCAGTCTCAATGAGTGGCAGCACTGAGAATGTATGCGTGAAAGTGTCCCAGTTGTCCGAGTGTTCGGGAACTCCGAAAGGTGCTAACGTAGCATATCGCATACTGCGACGTCATTAGCAATGATCCCAAACCGTTGGTTCAGCGAAAGCAGCACTTACACATATTCTCCGACCCCTATTTGTGATCCATTGGCCAACTTGCCCATCCACCAATGCTGTTGATTGTAGCTATCGAGTGAGCTGCGCGGCAGATTGCGTAAGGGGAATGAAATTGTCAGGTTCTCATTGTCAGTCGCCGGGTCAAAGTAATAATAGCCTTGATCGGCAAGCGCCCACGAAGCAACACTACCAACGTAGCCGGCTTGTCCAACTACGGGTGGGTATTTCCAATCTCGTTCGACCCAGTCACCCTCGAAAATCTGCAGTGTATCAGCAATTGAAGTTTATTCTGATTGGAGGAGGAGCACGCACGTCCCATCTCAGTTCGCGAACAGCCCAGTTCATGCGAGACTGCATATGCGGAAAGTCCTGTGAGTAGACTGTAAGATTGAATGTGAAGCTACACATTTAGAGTGAGTATGTTATATTTCTTCAGCAAGTTGTATATCTGACTCACTTTGACCTTTCGTCAATGGTGAACGGGGGATAGAAGAGGCCAGATGTACACTGAGGCCAGCCTGCCTCGTGACGGAAGTTTTCTTTCGCCATGAGATCTTTTACATCCGAACCCACCCCTTCATCATGTTTAGTAAAGTAAATTAGCGAACTTTTGAGTTCAACTTACCGAAATAGGGAATCGATAGCTCTTCGCCCTTGCTGCTGATGACGAGAATTTTGCCACTATAGAGTGGGATATTCTCCAGGCCGGCAGGATAGTTAGGGTATTTGAAGCTGAATCTATTTTTCAACTTAGCATCTCGAAGCGGAGAGGTTTGGACGGATGCCTGATTACTTCGCTGTTTTGGTTTGGCCTGGCTTCACCGAGAAGGTGCCGCTGGGAAAGCTGACGACCGGAACAATCTTCTCGGGGATCATCTCATCGGACCAGTACATCTTGAACCTTGGCGTATTAGGAATATTGGCATCGTATGGCATCCAAAATGTGAAACCCGCGGCGTCCTGAAGCTCGAATCGATAAGAGATGGTCTCATTGCCATTATTGGTCACGTCAACTTCGTGAAAGCGACTAAAGTGGTGAGTATCGTTCAACGAGAACTTGGCGAAGGATAACGATGTGTCATAGTTTAGGACCTGTTGCTTATTAATTCGGGTCGTATGCCGCTGAGTTAGTCAGTGACTTACTCTTGTAGCATCAATCAAGCCTGTGCCGACTTGAATTGGAGGAGCCCAGTAGCCAAAGTCCTTCAACTCGTCGAGACCGTCCCACCACGGTACAGAACGTCCACTAGACATGATCCTCATTGCAAGCTTCTTGGCAAATTCGGGACCATGAGTGGATCTGCCACCATAGTGGCCAATATAGAGTGCAGCAACACCTGCAATATAAGGAGTAGCCATAGAAGTACCGCTCAGAATTGCATACTCATCGTTAATGTAAGTACTGAAAATGTCACCGCCTGATCTCTGATTAGTACCACTTATTTAGGTTATAAGTCGAAGGCTGCTAACTTACCAGGAGCTGCAACATCCGGCTTCAGCGTCAAGTCATTCAATCCACCCCAGCTCGTGAACATGTTGGCTTTACCGCCTGCCGAGTTATACATGCCAAAGTAGTGACTGCTAGGGTCCAGGGAGAAGTCACCAGTCACGTTGCCACCTGCTTTGATGGTCGCAATCATCGCCTCACCAGCTGTCTTATCGACCATTCCGAGAATTGAGTTTCCCTGCTCCCACGTCCAAGGAGTGTCTCTCCATTGATCATTATTGTAAAACATAATGTATTTTGCACCAAAAGCCTCGAGATTAGCCTGCTTGGTGTCGAAGTCACATCCACCTCGGCGAATCAGAGGGATGACCTGGGACAAGTCAGGGGTGTCAGCCGGAAGAGGTTCGCATGCATCGGCCTCGACATTAACGTCGAGTGATAGCGGCACGAACTCCCACCCAACAATACTTGGAGGAAACGCAACGTCCCATCCAGGAATATAGGCAACTTCGGTAGTGTTGGACTGGTCATCGAGGCTGAATGTTCCGTAGAAACCTGGGGAGACCAAAGTGGAAGCCTCAACAGAAGCTACAGCAAGAACAAACTCCCCTGCGGCTCCATTGCTTGAGTAAAATGGCCCTGAATATCCACTATTACCGGCCGCGATCGTGACAACGACACCCTGTTCTACAAGACGGGAGGCGACCATGGGCCATGCGCTATCAGCCCAGCCTTCGTCGCCGCCAACACTGCAAGTAATGATGTCGGCCTGCTCTGGTCAGCAAAATCTATTAAATAAGGTCAGAGTCTATACATTTGCCTCATACGCCATCAAAAATGCTTCAATAAGGGTATCTTCATCTGTTCCGTCCTAACACCTTAAGTTAATCAGAAGAACCGGCAGAGGTAGGTAATGCAACCTACAAGAGCACCAAACACTTTATACGATAGTAACGTGGCTTCAGGAGCTACGCCGACGAATCTTTTCAAGTTAGGGAACGGGATCACCTCAGAGAACAGTGAATATATGCACATACTGAGTTGGGGGAGCAGG